GGCTTTGAAGAAAGAATTCCAGGTTACAGAGAACAGTGAAAATCATCCTCCAACTTCGGACCAATCTAATGCAGGGTAAGTGATTTATTTTTTTTTTTGGTTGATATTTTATGTTTGGCTTTATGCGGTGAAAATTTGGCACCTTCGTAGTATGATCAATGTACATTTTTGTGCACAGTTGCAAGGCATCTTAATTGTTTGTTGCTTTTTCTTTTTGGTGTATCAATGGTATTTCACTTTAGTATCATTGCTTTTGACAACTTCAATGGAAGAAAGGTAAAAGTTAGTGGTTTGCTTGCCTAGTTTCTGATCTTTCTGAAGCTTCTTTCTGGTATGATTCTATGTATTAGTGAACTTACCAGTTAAAATTTTATTCTTGGATCACAGGGCAGAGCAGAGCTAATCTATTTTGAACACCTTGTCCTGTCAATACAATTCTCTAACTGATGGCTGTACAAAAAAAGTAGTAAATGAACACCATAATGGTTCTAAACATGCATTTGAGGGAAAATACATAAGTTGTTGCATCAGAAATTCGGAATGCATATATATTCTTGCTTTGTCATGGCAGAATTTTATGTTGTTCTGTGAGATATGTTGTGGTGCCACTGAGCCTTCATCCTGGTTATGATAAATGTGCCCGATGTGATTGTGAATGATGTTATGGTCTTGCAAGCTCAAATGCTTATGAACTTATATGTTTCAACATATTATCCTTCAGGATAGAAGATGACCACAATATATCAAGCAATGATCATGCTTCTTTAAACACAAATATCTGTGGTACAGGATCAGATGTTCCTACATCATTTGAGCCATCAAATCGATCATCTGGAATTACAGCCAACAGAACTATGACGGGAAAGATCTCAAGGAGAAGAAGAACAGGAACAAAAAGGATGGCAATATTTAATGGCAAAAGCATGAGACTATCGATGCTTATTATTTTGAAAAGAGACGCCCTTCTATGTGTAAATTTGGTACCAACTAAGATAATTATTCATGAAGCCATTATTTAATATCTCAACCTTTATTGATTATCATTTTTATGTTCCATGGCTTTATGGGGCGTTTGGTTAATGTAAATACATTTATATACTTGTTACTTTCATTTATTAATAACTGTTTTCTCATCTACTAAATCACCTTTTTGAACTTCCTGCAAATCAAGCGGGTTTTAGTTTGAAAATTTGTTTATTTGCTTGTAAACTGCTGGGAGACTGCACTCACACACTAGTAATACGAGATATGAAGTTGGTTCATCCTGATGATGTGCATAATCGAGCTGCTTATCCAATTTTTACTTTCGAACTAAAGTTGCGTTTTCAGAAATGTAATGCTTTTCTCTTCTTCACATAGCAGAGGATAGCTCTCTTCATTATTCTGAATTTCTGGAGTATGATTATCATCATGATTAGTTGCCCTCTGCTCTCAACACTGCAGTACGTTTAACTCATCAACTGCTACATGGGGTATCATGATCATTGCTTGGAATTTATAAGAGTTCCTGTCATCTGTTTTGCAATTCATGAGAATTAATGAAATGATTTGTTTTGGTTTGCAAAATCTGAAGCATCTATTCAATTGCATATGGACTGGATGCTCAGAGCATCTGGTTAAATTCGCATGCAGATGGCTTGTCTTTTTGGAACCTCTTTTTGTTGCTTTGGAAGGTGGCTTAGTTAGAGTTCCATTGCAATGGAAATGATGTGGGTGCGTATTTGAATTATCTTGTATAATACTGTTTGGACAAAGCATCTTCTTATTGCAAAAGAAGGAAATCATGCCAGGCCAGAAACTTACTGCACCATTTCAGTCCTTTGATCCCAAAATGACATTAGCCGCAGAACTCAGCTTCATGGGTTTTTGGTGCCGAATATGACAAGTGAAAAGACATAACAAAGTACTGTAGTATGGAAATTATTCACCATAATGTTGTACTCCTCCGGTCCTTATTATAGGACCCCATTTGACTTTTTATTTGGTCCTAATTATAAGACCCCAATCCATTTTGTCTCTTATATTTATACATTTTTTTCCAAGATAATCCTTCTAATAATGATAGTTTTAACCAATATACTTAATTAGCAAGGATATTTTAGGAATGACAACACTTATTTATTATAAATAACCAACTTAACTTACTTCCTTAATCTCCTCAAATAAGTCAATTGGGTCTTATAATTAGGACCGGAGGAGTACTTTTAAATGAATGGACAGCTATGGTTTCGTCTAAGATTTAGGAGATATTTAAATAAAAACTAAATTATAATTTTAAAAATAATTTTGAATATGTGAAGGAGTTTTTATCTTGATTTGTGGAATTTTTAAACATAGCCAAACACCCGCTTAACAGCAGAAGCTTATTTCAGTTTAAGTTCATTCAAACGACGATTCGATGCCATTTTAACGGAGAAGCTAAGCAGTGATAAATAAGGAAGGGGAAGTGAGGCATGCTGTTGGAATCCTTTGCGGCACGCGCCGGGTCCAGTGGGCTAACGCACCAAATCTTATTGCTTTTTAATTTTATTCCTTAATTCCTTAATTGAAATAGGCTTCATATAGAATTAAATTTGGAAAATATTAGATTATATATCTAATTAAAAAATTATATTAAAAACTTATCTATTTATAATCGAATTTAACACTTGACTAATTCTTATATTAGATAACAATATCCTTGACTTTTGCTTAAGGGATATCATGATAGAACTGCACATAGACATACCGAACAAAACATAACCCCTGTCTAATGTGCTATCCCATGGATGCATGCGCTGCATTTCGCAGCTCTTTGCCTGCCCATGCTTGTGAAATGTGAGATACCCCAGTCATTTTAGGCTGGCCTAGGCAAGATTCCCTACCCAAATAAAAACTTCTTGCTTATAATATTATATGTGCGTGTGTGTATAAACTCAATCAAAACTTAATAAATAATACTCCTTCGATCTTTAATATAGGACCCAATTCTTGAGTTGGTTTTGATCCTAAATATAAGACCCATTTCTCATATTTATCAATTTTCTCTAAATTACCCCTATGAATACTCTCTCAACCATATTCAAGTAGAAAAGAGAGTGAGGGTATTAAGAAAGATGATTATGGTGTTTTAGGAAAAATGTGTCATTTTTCTTATAATTAACTAACTTACCTAACTTCTTTAATCTAATCAAATTGGTTAAATGGGTCTTATATTAAGGACCGGAGGAGTATTTTTAAATGTCAATGTAACATTAAAAAAATAAATATAAACACTATTAATTCACATGTATCCACAGAAATTTCATAATAAAACACAGCACAATAAGTCTTAACTCAATATCTAATCTTAAACAATAAAGAAAAAACATTCAACCATCCATAAGCCATTAAAAATAAAGCAACTAAAAAGACTATAATAGCAAAATAATATGCATTCATATTATTTTTTAAATAAAATTATATATATTTTAGGTAAGACTAGATGGGTAAGGCAGCATATCATACCCAATGTTCGGCTTGACAAGTGGTCCTACCCAAAAGGACCTAATTATTTTTTTTAGCCATTTTTTTAGGGTGGGATGGGCATTTTTTCATCGAGTTTAGGCAGGCATAGGACTTGTTTGGGATAGCAGTTAAAATCTTTTGTAAACATATTTTATGTAAGCTGAAACAAAACTCTTCTTACGTACTTATCTCGTATTCCGTAAATCATGATTGAAAAACTACTTATAAGTTGTTCTAAATGAGCTCTACATGAACACCCCGTGTCAAAGCTGCTTAGCATTAATAAAACAATTTTTTTCTTTGATATGACTCAACGTAGCTATTATCTTATGTAAATTATTAGTTCAAATTTCCACATTGCATCCCTATATATGTGCGCCAATAATACCTAAGCTTGGATGGCTTTTCAGTTTCCAGTATGTTCGATCATACATTATTTTTGTTATTCCCAACCTTAATTATTTAAATAGGATTAGCTCTGAGCAATTTGTGATGTTGCAGCAGGTAGTGACACTGCCATTCATAATTCCACTAATACACACACAAAATGGGATGCATAAAGTACTGAGCCTGTGAGGCGGCGCCACTCCCTCAGCAGGAATCAGATTTATAAACCATATCCCATTTCAACACATTTCTCCACTTTCCCCATTTCTACCTGTTTCGTCCACATAAATTCCTTTAATAAATTCTTTTTTTAAAAATTATTCAGTGTATTTATTATCACATAATTCTCACAAAAAAATTAATTTAATTCTTTTTTTCCTGTAACACAACTACGCACATGTCACCCACTAGCAAATGCTCACCATGCATTTTCTTTCTTTTACACGGATTTCCACCTCTCTTTATTTCAATGAAGTATTCTCTTTTGTTTTGTAAAGAAAAACCTGTGTCTTTGAAATTGTTCGTTGTCATTATTAATTATTTTAATTGACAATATCATTGACTATATAATAGCTCCATATAATCAACAATCTTTTCTTACGAAGAACACATATAGTTGAAAATGTTAGACTATATATAGCTTTCAATCACACTAAATTTTCAAATAAAAACAACAGTTTTGATGGTTAATCAATGAGACCATCATGCTACCTAGATGACAAATGTTTGTAATGACATCCCAGTTTGGAAAAAAAAGATAAAGATCTCTTAAAGACTAACTCAAATGCTATTTTACTACTAAAGATCGAGAGCACTATACTATCTTTTCCACTATTATTTAACTGCCCACTAGTTTTCAATCACACTAAATTTCCAGATAAAAACAACAGTTTTGATGGTTGATCAATGAGACCATCATACTACCTAGATGACATAGTTTTTGCAATGACATCTCAGTTTTGAAAAAAAAGATATAAATCTCTTAAAGATTGACTCAAATGGTATTTTACTACTAAAGAGAGCACTATGCTTGTTTTCCGCTATTATTTAATTACCCACCGCACAAGCCATGATTCTCAACTCTCCACTATAAATAGCATGCATCTGAACGTCCCTCTCTACAACATCCCCTCATATAGCCTCTCATATTATCATCTGAGAGTCCTTCAATGGCTGCTTTAAGGAATTTGGCCCTTATAGCTTTGCTGGTTTCGTTCAATGTCGCTGTTTTGTGTGAGAGCAGAGTGGCAAGGAAGGATCTAGGGGTGGGGGTTGGTGTGGGTGCTGGCCTAGGTATAGGACTCGGTGGCGGCAGCGGCTCCGGTGCCGGGGCAGGGTCGGGCTCAGGGTCAGGCTCGGGGTCAGGCTCTGGTTCGGGCTCCAGCTCAAGTTCGGGTTCATATTCGAATTCAGGGTCTGGGGGGTCGTCTGGGGGTGGTTCTGAGGCAGGATCATATGCAGGATCTCATGCAGGATCCGGATCCGGATCCTCCGGATCGGGTTCTGAAGCCGGATCATATGCAGGATCTCATGGAGGATCAGGATCCGGATCCTCCGGAGCGGGTTCTGAAGCCGGATCATATGCTGGATCTCATGCCAAGTCAAGATCGAACGGAAAGGGAGGGAGCGGCGAAGGTGGGGGATACGGCGGAGGCTACGGAGGCGGTAATGGAAAGTGATCGGATTAACTGATTCCTGCTTGCAAGTTTATTATTAAGTTAGCAGGAAAGTGGTCAGTTTCTCTTTCAGAAGTAATTTAAAAAAAAGAAGAAGCATTTGAATAAGAATTTGCATCGATCATAGCATGCATGTGTGCATTTGAAGCGGAAGATCTTTAGTACGTCCATGTTTGTGTGTAGGTGTCATGTAGTAGTCTGGTGTGTGATTACATATGAAGCAACTGTGTGTTGTATTATTAAAAGTGTGATGGAAATAAAAAAAGCATATTGCATAATGCTTATTATATATGTTGTCACTCTAATTAATTTCTATGGGGAGATAAGATATTAATTAACATGTTTGGGTATATATGGACGTATGGAGCAAGGCGTAAGGAGCGAGAAAGTCAAGGAAAGAGGAAGGAGAAGAGATAGTAAGGCTTGCAGGAATGAAAGTGAAGGGATAAAGGTAGAATTGTGGGAGAGCATAAATAATGATGAGAAACCAGAAAGTGGAAGTCGTACTGAGAGACCTTCAAAGTAGGTTTTCCCACGCATGCCGCTTGTGGTTGATGCGTGGCATGTGAGTATAGACTAGTATTCGCCTACAAAACTGAAGCCATTTATATAATATAAATAATATTATCTTTTCGTACTTGATATAAAAAATTAGATAACTAATTTATAAATATTAAAAAATTAATTAAGTTGGTTATTTGTAATAAATAAGTATTATCTTCTTTAAAATATTCTTATTAATTAATCATGTGTATTGAGACAATTATTATTACAATCACTATAGAGATTACTTGGAGACAAAAGAAATAAATATGAGAAATAAAGTAAATCAAAATCTTATATTTATGATTAAATTAAATTTCTAATTGGCTCTTATATATATTGACGAACAAACTATATCTGGTGCTGGTCTTTAGTTTGTAATGCTTATAAGCTACTACCTCTTTTTGTTAATATAAGAGATAGATAATTAATTTGAAGAAATTAAAAAATTAGTTAAGTTGGTTATTATTTGTTACATATATGTGTTGGCTTCCCTAAATTATCATATTTAATTATGTACTTTGGAACTACCCTTTAGTAAAAACTCCATACAATCAATAGGAATATTTTAGAAAAAATATTATAAATTTAGGAGGCAAAATATATTAAAATATTATATTTTAAAAAAAATCATATTCCCTAACTAGCTCTTACCTAGGATCGGAGGCAGTAACATGCTTTCACTGCTTCTTCTCGTAATATCAAACTTCCCTTTTTACAACTTATCCTAAATCATTATGTATCACTATCTTCACTATATTCACATGCCTACCCCTTTTTCAAAAATTAGAAGAAAAAAACAGAAAACGTAGAGAGACTGGCTAGCTAATGATAGTTTTGAATTGAAATCTTAAAAGATAATGTACCTATACTATGCATGGAGAATATCCGTGATGATAACTTGGCATCTGATGGTCGTGGATGGGCCAAACATTTGATCAAATGATTGGCTTGTCTTGAACATGAGTCTAAATGTAATAGTTTGGCTCCTATAAATAATAATTTGATTGCAACATTTTGACTAACATATACATTAATCTGAACAAAATTATAGCTTAAAAAAATGGTCACTTGGCCAGCCCAGCTTTATTTGTCAACTTCAGCTGACGCAATTCATCTTTGTTGGGCTATGATTTGCCCCAGACTGTGAAAGATATACTGTATAAATTTAAAAGTAATTATAAATTTATAAACACATGTAAATAATTTTTACATTCTAATTTCTCCAAACTTTCATCTATTCCATCTGCTCACTAATATTTCCAGACATCGCCTTAGATAAAAGTACACGTATCTTCTTCCTCCACCATTCCCTCTGATTTCCGTTCCTTTCTTGAGTTTCTTCTTCTTCTTCTTTATCTCGACTCTTTCTTTTTTTTTTTCCTTTCACGAATTTTACATGGGAATTGGGAAAGAAAATTCTAGAAGCCTAGAAGGGGGAAAAAAAAAGAAAAATAATTAATTTACAGACTTCCCATAGCCATAATAGGAAAGGTACCACTTCACAAACTTCTTCAGCCCAGTTTCCAAATCCGTCGTGGGCCTGTACCCAAGTTCTCTTTGGGCCAAGCTAATGTTGGCGTGCGTAAATGGAACGTCGCCGTTCCCGGGCATATCCACGATGGTCCTCTTCGCCTTCACCTTCAAATGTCGCTCCAAAATTCTCACCAGCGCCGGTACCGTCACCGGCGACGTATTTCCCAGATTGAAGATGCGGTACGGGGCGGGTCCTCGCTTCTTCCCACCCGAACCGGTACTCTTCCCTGACGTATCCAACGATGCTACACAACCTCTTACAATATCGTCGATGAACGTAAAATCTCGGGCTAAATCGACCCGGTTCTTTCCACGATATATCGTGATCGGTCTGCCTTGGAGGATGCTTTTCGTGAAGGAGAAATACGCCATGTCGGGTCTTCCCCAAGGTCCATATACGGTGAAGAATCTCAAACCGGTAATGGATAACCCATAAATATGATTGTAAGTATGGGTGATTTCCTCGCCGGCCTTCTTCGTGGCGGCGTAGAGGCTTGCCGGTTGGTCGGTCCGGTGATACTCGGAGAATGGAACCATCTCGTTGAGACCGTACACAGAGCTGGACGAAGCCCAGACGACCGCAGGCTGAGGATTCGCCGATTTGCACGCTTCTAGAAGCGTGACCAGCCCGGCGATGTTGCTGTGAACATACGAGAGAGGATTCCTCATGGCGTAACGAACGCCGGCTTGAGCCGCCAAGTGCATGACATGCGTGAAAACGACGACGTCGAAGAGCTTAGCCAGGAGCTTAGCGTCGTTCAAATCTCCTTCCACGATGAATATGCCATTGGTGCTGAGAAGCGACCTGCGAGCTTTCTTCAAAGATGTGTCGTAGTAGTTATTGAAATTATCGAGACCGACGACGCCGTCTCCTCTTCTCTTGAGAGCGAGGGAAACATGAGAGCCGACGAAACCACCAGCGCCGGTGACCAGGACGGCCATTCCGCCTCGGCGATTAATCCGAGCAGAGGCCCGGACCTGCCTCTCCCATTTGGTTCCTCCCCAGGAAGAAGACAAATAGGGACTTCCAACACTCTGAAAACTCAAATAAGAAACAGTCAATGCAATAAGAAAGAGAGCCCAGAGGAACATTGTGCTGGTGGAAGAGAAACACCGATAAACTTGACGATTCATGAGGTGAGCTCTTTCGGATTTGGATTTTCCAGGGGAAGAAGGAAGAAGCTGATCATTATCCAATGAGGATGGCATTTTCTCTTTTGCGGTGAAGAGAAGATTTTTCTTGTTAATTATTTTTGCCGAGAAAGTTACGACCAGGCGCAAAAGAGGATTGAAAAATGATGAGGAGGAGAGATTAAGAGGGAGAAGGGGATGATGATGATTGATTGGCGGCGAGGAAGAAAGGCTCACAAAAGTCAATTTGTGTTTCTCTGAATCTGATACACAAGGCGTGAGGATGTGATTATATATATTGTGAGAGAAACTTGGAAAGTCAAACATTGCTCAAACCAGGATTTATCTTTTGGGAACACCTTTTTACTTTCCTTTTTTCTTCTTAGTAATTTTTTAAGGATTTTTTGTGTGTGTGTTTTGCCCGAATAAATTTTGAAAAATGAGAACAATGAACATGCTGAATATAGCATAAATAAAATGTATTCTAGGTAGTATTTACGAAGTAATTAATTTATAGAAATATATTAAACAAATATGTTTATTTTAGGTACGACTACACGAAGGGATTTGTAGGAATATATTAAAGAAATTAGCATGTTTATACAGGAAAAGTCAAAAGCACAACCCTGTATCACAATGTCCAAATTAAATGTACTCTTGTATCACAAGGTCCAACTGTTGGAATTTTTTATTAACTAGCTATAATATATCTCAAATAGTTAGTCTTAAATTAAGATTCAATTAGCATGCATCCCCTTCCATCAATGATATATTTATACTAGCTTTGCTGCTTAATATAAGAGTTAGTTAAAAATTCAATTTGATCCTAAATATAAGAGTTTTAATCCACTTTGTTTTTTATATTTATTTTTTTCCAAAGTAGTCCCCATGATGGTTGCACATGTTAAAATATTTTTATTCTAATGCACATAATTAACAAGAATGTTTTAAGAAAGATAGCACATATTTATTATAATTAACTAACTTGATAAATTTTCTTAATATTTATAAATTTATAAATTGGTTATCTAACTGGTATATTAAAGACCAGAACAATAACACTTAGGAAAATTTGTGATAAGGTCCCACTCAAAAGAATTAAATACAAAAGTACCTCTTGAAATTATCAAATTAATTTGAAATCTCAAGGGACCTCATTACAATAAATTCTATTTATTTAATTATTAAATTGTTCTCATCCTTTTTTTTAAAGTGAAAGTGCAGTTGTTAACAACTTAAAGTGTAATGATTAACAACTACTATGATAGATATTAACAACTCATCCATTATATTTTTGTGATGCAATGAGAAAATGTGTTGTTAATACTTGTCACGATAGTTGTTAATTATTACATCTTAAGTTATTCATGACTGTTCTTTTAGTTGTCAATGCATATTTTAAAAAAAGAGTAATTTAGTAATTAAATAAATAAAATATCTTGCAGTGAGATCCTTTAGGACTTTAGAATAATTTGATCATTGGTTGGTAATTTTTGAATTGAAGAAATATGTTGATAATTTCCATATATATAATATAATAGGTTGACAAAATGGATTCAATTTACTGTAATAATATCTCGCGTAATCAAATATTATACGAGAGTATGACACTTGTACACTTATATACAATACGTATTTGGCAACATGAAATGCGTGAGGCTGTCTCATAGTCGTCCCACCACAACACACGGTAACCATCTATTCTAATACCACACGTTGCTTCAATTCTTGCCCCCATAGAAAAAGATGGACGAAGCCTAAAAATATATCAGAAATTAAACACTGGGAGAATTTTTTAGTATGGAAGAGTCAGGCCCTGAAAATTGACGCCCAGTTATCCAAGTTGCTCAACTATCTCTTAGAGCTCCACCGCAACCTGCTCATTCATAGACATGATCCCATCAACGTTAATTTTAAACCAATCTGGCGGCGGAGGCGGTGCTTACGTTCCTACATGATCTGTACATTGCCTGTTACATTTTGACTTCTCACAGTTTTCTAGTTGCTCCTCCGTATTTATAAATCATTTTAACATATTTTACACAAATAAAAAAAAACTTAAACTTCATAAACTTTTGTTTAAAACTCAACAACTTTTTAATTTTATCTTTATTTAATATATATTATATCTTATATAAACAAAGTCAACACAATAATAAATAAGTGGTAAAATTATATATCTATATAAAAAATTTTCTCAGTACTCTATAAATAAGACTAAAAAATGTCTTCTCTCTTTTATTCTATAAATAGGACCAGAGGAGTACATGTATTTTTTTTATTGAAAGCAATTTTATTTAAGACACTGTCAAGTATTAAATTTAGACACCTTTCCCAATGACAATTTGAATATTAATTCGTCACGTTATAAAAGAATAACCTCTTTTGTTGCACCAAACCTTTCTGTCAGTTTCTTCATGCTTATGCACTACGCATCAAACAAGAAGCCCATTTAAATAAAGGAGAATTACAATTAAGTCTCAAGTAAGTAAAGTTCTAATGACAACTAAGTAGTTTGTAATGATAAATTCCAAAATAAAAAATTATAACTCTTCACTTGTTATTGAAATTTTTTAATAGTTATTTTCTTTTCATGAGACTTCGTTGCAATTCTTTCTTTAAATAATTGGGTCTTATTTGGGTCGGGTCAGATCAAGTGGGCCAATATGATGACCACAACATAAAATATAAAAGACAAAAAAACTAATAAGATACCCTACTTTTAAATTATGTCAAGAGCATCCTCACGTTTTGAATTTTATTAAGGGAGAATTACTAAAAAGTTTTGAGAAAGAAGTTTAATTACCAAAAGTCTCAATGACGAGTGATCAGTTTGAACATATTATTATTAACTACTCTAGAACTTATTATTGCTTGCTGCTCATTTGTCGATAAATTTTAGAATAATTAAATCTCTTTTTTGAAATATGATTGTAATCTCCTTTTTATTAAAGCAAATCTTGTTTGTTGGCAAGATTCTTTTTGCTTTAAATAACCCACCTTCATCACTTGAGTCTTGCCATCCTGCTTTAAATATAAAATTAAGAAGCTACATCTATGTCCCAGCCATTTTTAAAATACACGAGAAACCGCGTTTTTTAAGTAAAAAAAATACGTTCAAGTGTTCAACACTGCATGCAATGCACCGTGACACTTCGAGTTTTCTCCGTTATATGATAGCTCATGCATGCTTCGCTGCTTGAATATTACTGATCCTTGTCTGCAAGACAGGGAGAGTATTATATCGCATCATATGGAAAATGGTTAGCAAAAGTTAGGAAACAAGTTCGAATAACAAGATAGCATCATACAAGTTATGATATAAAAAATGATAATTTTTTCACTTGTGATTAGGATTTTTTGATAATTATATTTTTTGGGGATCTTATTGTAATTTCCTCAGAGGATAAAGTATGATTTTTTTCATTAACATCATTGTTGGTCCTTACAATTTCATCTAATTTTGATTTTAGTCCCTGTAGTTTTAAATCGTTGGTTTTAGTCTTCATAGTTTTATAAGGATTTAGCTTGAATTTAAATATAGAGTCCAAAATCAAAATTCCTTGAAAATATCAGGACCATTCGTTAAACTTAGATAAAGAAAATTATGAAACTATATGAATCAAATCTAATAATTTGAAATCATATTAACATTTAATATTTTTTGGTGCAAAGAGCGTGAAAAAACCAATAGAAAAAAAAAGAATTACAATAAAGTCCTAAGAAGAGAAATAATCATTAACAAGTCCCAATAATAAATTAGAAGTTGTCATTTTTTTTTATTCTAAAACTTGTCGTTACAAATTACTTAGATTGTTATCAAAGCTTTTTAATAATTACTCCTCTGATCCTTAATAGAAGACCTATTTAACTAATTTGATTGGATTAAAGAAGTTAGTTAAATTAGTTAATTATAAAAAATATGACATGTTTTTTTTAAAACACCATAATAATCTTTCTTAATATTTTTTCTTCCTCTTCTACTTGATTATAGTTAAAGAAATATCTATAGGGGTAATTTAGAAAAAATTGATAAATATAAAAAATAAATATTATATTTAAAATAAAAATTAACTAATAACTAACTTCTATATTAAAAATAAGAGGAATATTTTCTTTTAAGGATTTAATTGTAATTCTTAGTGGGACTGCTCTGCCTACAAATAGAAGGGCCAGATGGACTTCACGTGGTCCCGTACGCGCCTCCTGACCTGATGGGTATTCCTAGAAAGGATTGTCCCGCTGGTGTTCCCCGCAGTAGAAGTCGGTTGCAAGGGCCAAATGGCCAGCCAGCCACTTTCACTTCCAGCATAACAATTACAACCTCGGTATAAATGTGACCGAGTGTAACCTAGTAACCCAGTGATATTGAATGTTTCACGGGTGGCACGAGAACAAGTTACCATTATAATGCAGAGAATAAAATTATTAAATACTCACGTAATTCTCCGCACATATATATATTTAATGAACTTGGTAGATTTCATACTAATCTTTGTCAGGTAGAGCAAATTAAAATTAAAATTCTCTTAATAAATATGCTTTCTGATACTCAAACTTATGTAATCTTTTTTATAAAATGAAACAGCTTAATACCAACAGCTTGTTGGTGTCTCTCCATATTATCGTTAGTTTATATCTTTGCCATCCAACTTTCTTTACATATTAATAGTACCAACATATTGTAAATATTGTGTAATTTGATACGAGTATTATATATTAATTGGTATTAATTATTTAATTAAATGATAGTATTACGTAATTTTATCAACTAAACTTCTTTAAAAATTAAAACAACAACAATCAAATTATATTCCAAGATTCATAGCTTAGAAAGTTTATGATTATTTGTTGGCAAAGAAAAAGAAAGTTTATAATTATTGTTTATAAAAAATAAAATTATAATATATGAGAGATTTTATTAGTAATAATTTTAGAAGTTAACCAATAATGGAGTGTAATTAATTTATATTTAAGTTTTGCCGTATGTAAGTAAATGAGCAATGCAGTCCTTTTCTCCCATTTGCCGCCGTAAATACGGAAATTTGTCGCGGTACAGTCTTCAGGCTCCACCTTTTGCTATAA